GCCTGGTAGAGACAGAGAGGCTTAGGGGCTTCTGTGGGCATCCCTACCACACTCAGGGTTGGTCAGGTCAGGACCCTGAGGCTCCAGGGCCACTTCTGGAATTTCCTGCATACCTCTTGAATACTCAGGTCTGGTGTGTTCTCCTCACTGTTTTTTTCTTTTTTAAACAGTTTTCCTTTTCCTTAAAAGAATTTTCTCTAAAAATACAGTAAATTCTTGACTAGAGCAAAGTCCTCTTTAGTATGAACAAATCTGTGCTCCTGCCTCATGTTCAGGCTCCATCTCAAGTAAAGTGGGAAGATCTCTGTGAATGTGGGGCTGGCTCAGCAACAGGTAGCCATCTCCCATGGGGCGTTCTCAGCTTGATGTGCAGCCTCTACTCTTTTGCTGTTAGTGACAGCTCCACCCACTATAAATATATCACTTTTTACTGACTCTACAAACACATAACTCCACGTTTTACCTAATTTGAAAATGGTAGGTTGGCTTTAACACTATTGTGGAATTTTACTATAGTCAGTGCCTATTTTGCGTCACAATATTATGCTAGGTTTATGGCAATGTGTAAAATATGGTCTCTGCTTTTATGGAACTCTTTCATGGAGGAAATATATAAAAAGTCAATAAAACAGCTGCAAACTGGGATCCAGGTTGTGAAGAAGCCAAAGGAAGTACAGAGAAGAGCAGAGGCCCCAGGCATTTGAGCTGAGAGTAGAGAGCTGGGGTGGGAGGACGGGGGGGGGGACCCATGAAGCAGAGCATTTCAAGTGGTAGGAATAGCATGTGCAAAGGCCCTGTGGTGGCACTGCAAAAGGACTACAGCTTAAGGTGGCTGAGTGCAGGTCTAAGAGACCTAGAACAATCTAAAGAAGAAACAGGACAACCCAGGCTCAAGTTCTGGCACAAGAGCCGGAGGTTCAAACTCCCTATGGGCTAGCTAACTCTAGACTGTCTTGGACTAGCGCCTGCAGGGACCTGGGACAGAGTATGACAATGGCTCAAAATAATCACTACTCTTTGGAAACCATGGTGATGGTTTTTGTAAAGCCATGAGGCAGTGTTGGCTGCAGGACTCTGATGGCTAGGAGCAGGTGAGTTTAGCACCTTCCACTTTTCTCTCTGAAACTTACAGAGTCTAGGGAGCTGGGGAGATGGATAAGTCTGTAAAGTCCTTGCCATACAAGCCTGAGGACTGGAGTTTGATTCCCAGAACCCATGTGAAAAGGTAGGTCCAGTGGTGCACACTTTTAGTCACAGTGCCAGGGAGGTGGGGACAGAAGGATCCCTGGGGCTGGCTAGCCAGTCTCACTTAATTAGTGAGCACCAGGCCAGTGAGAGATACTCTCTCAAAAGGAAGGTGATGTTTCTGAGGGGTCTCTGTCTTCTCACCGCCACACACCCGAATACACACTTGCATACCCCCCTATATAACACACACACACACACACACACACACACACACACACACACACACACACACACACACACAAATATTGGAGCCTGACCTGGACCTCATTCATTCATTCATTCATTCATTCATTCATTCATTCATCCATTCATCTGTCAGTGGTTGAACCATACCCTGTATGGAACTGTTGGGCACCAGAATCAAGGAGACAGATGAAGTCCCAGCTCTCAGGAGCTTGTTTCCTCAAAAGTGGGGGAGGGAAGAAAGCAAAAATAAACAAACCCTGAACTCCAAAATTCAGTGTTTTGGTGGCGTGTTTGGGGAGCTCTCCCTTTTGAATAAGAGCTCTGAGATTTCAGCTTCCCAATGAGTTTTTCTTTATTCATTCTTTTCTGATGGGTTCCACTCTTAGGCCATAGTGCCTTGGCCCATCTTGCTCGTGTGAATTAAACACACACACACACACACACACACACACACACACACACACACTGTGGAGGGCTGCAAAAAGCCCACCCACACAGGCACATCCAAATACACATACTTCTCTAATCTCCCCAAATCCTCCAAAGACTGGGGGTGGGGGCCTCTTGGCTTTTCCATCTAGCATTCTCACAGAAGTCAGGCTGGGGACCTGGTGGGGCAGTGATCATCAGCCTTACCTCCCTCCTAAGCCCTTCCTCTGGGCTGGTCCTGGGGTCCCCTCATCCCCAAACCTGGCCTCCCCAGCTGCTGAGAGGTGCATGGGTGTGTTGAGCAAATATCCTTGCAACTTCCTGCTGCTCCCCTCTGAGACAACAGAACCCCCCCTCTTCCTCCTCCCCACATCTCCCAGCTGGGGTTTCTCTGAAATCTTGAGTCAGTTCCCTGGAGAGAAACCAGAGAGATCCCTTTCTCCTGTCCAGAGGAAAGAGACACACACACACAGACCCTCTCTCCTCTTGCTCTTCCATCCCCGTTATCTGTACTCAGACTCTCTCTTGCACGCACAGGGCTGGAGGACCATAGCGTGCAATGCAAGAGAGCTCAAGGAGCTGTGGGACTACAGAGGATGGAGGAGGAGGTCTTGCGTCTTTCGGAGGAAGGACAGCTGTTGCGTTCTCAGGGTTGCCTCTAGAGTTGAATAGGCAGCATCACAGTAACAGCAGGAGGGCCTCAGAGGCAAGGCAAGCACCCAGCAGAGAAGATGCAGTTTTCCATCTTGAGATAGACACTTCCATCCCATCCTCATCCCCAGAACTCCCTCTCTCCCTTATGCAGAGTGGAGAGGGAGTAGGGGTGTTTGTTGCTGCAGTAAGGAACCTAGTCATGGAAATAGAAGACACCCCTCCCCAGAAGGTATAAGACTTGCTCAAGGTCACACACAACTCCTTGCTGAGTGAGTCTCACTGCCTCCCCATCCAGTGACTGGAAGACGTCAACTGTGGTCCCTTACTTGCCAGGCCTTAAACTGCATTCACCTTTACGGTAATCTCGCTAAATCTTTAGGATGATGCTACTGGGAAAGATGGTCTCCTGTTTCTGATAAGGAAATCAAGGTCCTGAAGAAAATAAGTCACTAGGCTGAACTGTCCCACTAGCTGAGGCAGAACCACAGCCAGCTCCAGAGTTCCCAATTCTTAGCCAGGGGAAGGGCTCTGACTTCTTAGAAACCCCTTCCCCACACCTATCTGACCCTGGTCCAGATAAGGGCAGGAGGGCCCTAGTGGGGCTTGCCCTACTGGTGTCCAGTTGCCTAACAGGGCTTCTTTCCTGCAATGAGCAGGGAGAGGAGCAGCTGTGAAAAGGGCAGGTAAGATTGTGCATCTCATTTGAGAAGAAAGCCCAGCTCAGTCTGACCCCAGCTGTGTCAAGTTAGCAGGAGGCTGCACTGTCCCCTTGGACCTCAAGGGGCCTGGCCCAAAAAAACCTCTTTCACTCTGACCCTCCAAAAACTCTTGTTGTTTTACTCCTGGGAAACATCTAGAACCACCCTGAGAAAAAGCATTGGTCCAGCTTTCCCCATTATAGATCAAGAAACAGAGGCCTGTGTGGGGAAGAAAGAGGCGTGGCCCATGCTCACAGGAGAAACCGGGTAGGATGAGGCTACTGCTCCTAAAACAAAAGGTCTCTCGTAGTTCACTTGATCTGAAGTAGAAGACTAAGATTTGAACAGCCTTCCTCAGCAAGACCTAGCCAAGCTGCTTGAGGAAGGCCTAGGAGGTCTGACATCTTATGACTTCCTGACTGATGGTGACATCAATCAAGCTGCTTGGGACACTCTAGGCCAACTTTAGGACACCTAAGTCCTTCAAGGACTTGGCCTTTGCCTGATGAAGTTTTTGTCAGTGCAGAAGGTTGAAGCAAACAGGTGGGAACCCATGTGCTTAGCATTCTCGTGAGTGTGTGTGTGTGTGTGTGTGTGTGTGTGTGTGTGTGTGTGTAGGGGGTCATACAACTATGGTTCATTTTATGGTGGTGGTGGGTTCCCATATGATTCAAACAGTCCACATTTCTTGAGGATGGGACCCACTCTCTTGCCTCCCCCAAGAGTCCTTAGGGCTGAGCGCTAGTGAACGAGAGGAGGGAAAGAAGAGAGAATCTGTTTCCTTAGTAGAGGAGGGGAAAGGAGAGAGGAAAGCAACTCCATAGCCTGTGGCAGTCATGAAGCCACAGGGAGAGACAAATTCAGCAGAACCACTGGGAACTAAGGGACAGGAAGCACAGTGGCCAAGGGATACAAAAAAAACTCTCCTGAAACGTCACCCTGTGCTGCCCTGACCCACCACCCTCAGTTCCCTTCCCGGGAGGTCCTGAGCCTGACTTCACCGGGAGGTCAGGACAGTGTTCCTCAGTTTCTGGGTCTGGCTCGGTATCTGGGTCTGGCTCGGACCCCCAAGAAGCTTCGGGCCTGTGGCCTGGGAAAACTCCATTGTGCGCCCCCAAGCGGAGACACAGCCTCAGAGCCGCCGAGGCCCTAAAGAGGACGCAGGACAGAGCTCCTCCACTCTGCGCCCAGTCTGGTCCCAGAACCCTGGGGTGGGTGGAGGGCGGATGGAAGACTATGGCAGAGTGGGGCGCCCGCGGTGGGGGTGGAGGTGGGGGTAGGGATTGGTGTGTCTTGAGTTCGTGTCCGAGGTTCGGGTGGTCTCGACGCTTCCATGTCCCTTTCCCATAGAAGCCAGAGGCCAACGTGTTCTTTGAGTTCTCAGAAGTGGCATGGGTCGC